ACAAAGGCCTTCTGTAGCGAATCGATGCATTTTTGTAAGAAAAATATCCATATGCAAAACGTAATAATCACTTTAATCTATCTTGCGGCAGCAGTTGTACACGGAAGCAGCTCCGGCGGATGACGTGTGAGGTCAGCGCTGCGCATGCGCCGCTCAAAAGTGATGAACACAGAAACACAGCGGAGAGATCAAAACAAAACAATGGTCACTAATTAGAAGTACAAAACGAGGATTTGTAAAGAAGATTGTGGGAGGATTTGGATATAAGCCAAGAGGAGACTGGTTTTCCTTTGCTAAAGTAAGGAAACTTTGCTTCCTTTGCTGCTGTTAACAAACGCTGGTTTTCACGAGACTCACCGGCGCATGCGCAGCGCTGACCTCATACGTCATCCGCCCGGAACTGATTCTGTGTACAACAGCGAGCGCAAGCTAGATTCAAGTGATTATTACGTTTTGAATATGGATATTTTTCTTACAAAAACGCATGGATTCGCTACAGAAGGCCTTTGTTCACCCCCCGGAGCCGTGTGAGACTTTTTTTTATGCATGGGTGCTTTTTATTTAACTTCTTTTGGACTGATGCATGCAACACCCGCTGAGTGCCATTAAACAGCTTGAAAGATCAAAGACCATTTTTAATATAACTCCGACTGGATTCGTCTGAAAGAAGAAAGTCATATATACTCTCGGGGGTGAGTAAAACACAGCCTAATTTTCTTTTTTGGCTGAACTAACCCTTTAAGAGCGCAAAAATGGCAATGAATCACATCCTTTCCCAGCAGAATCCTGTTTGTGACATAGTTTTGTGATGACGAGAGATAAAGGAATGTCTGAGCTTCAGCCATCAGCAAATATATAATGAAGACTTGAAGTTCACATCTGGAGAAGACAAAAGCTGAAACTAATCCAGCATTAAGACGTTTTTAACTCAATTTCGAGTCCATAATAATAACTCTTCCTCCAGTGAGTCAGTGTTCTGGTGTGAATCAGGAGAGAAATCTGCACAGATCAAGCAGCGTTTAAACAGCTCTAAACACATATGTGGCTAGATTTTGATGTGAGAGACAACAGCAGATGCACTTTTTCACTGGAGGAAGAGTTATTATGCACTCAGTGTATTTTAGTTAAAAGCGTCTTAATGCTGGATGTGTCTCAGCTTTTGTCTTCTCCAGATGTTAACTGATGGACTGGAGTGCTGTGGATTATTGTGATGATTTTATCAGCTCTCGTTCTGACGGCACCCATTCACTTGCAGTGAGACACTGATGCAGTGCTACATTTCTCCAAACCTGATGAAGAAACAAACTCATCCTGATCTCAGATGAACTGCGGGTGAGACACAGGGTGTGTTTTTAATGTGACTGTATAATTTAGTTTTATAATTATAATTTATTATCTTATTTTTTATGTTATTGACTTTATATTGGTATTAGGTTATATATATTCTTGATTGGTGAATTGTATCCTTTGCATAGTGCTTTTGTAAATTAAAATGTAGTCATTCAGCAGATGCTTTTATCCAAAGCGACTTACAAATGAAATTATAATCTAAATGTACAGTAGTTGTAAATTAAATTTAATTGACACTATTAAAACTTAAATTACATACATCATATTTTATGAATTATTATTATTATTATTATTATTATCTCGCCTTTATTTGTCCATTAATGCTTCAAAATTCACACAGTGTTGTAATGCAATCATTCACACATGTTCCTCCTCTAAGACGCAGTTAAATCTCAGGATAATTCGTGTCTTTTTAGACACATTGTGTACACTGCAGTGTATAATCATTAACATGTATCGTTTCCAGTGATTCCTGCTTAAATAAAATGTATGTCTGGGTAAATAATAAATGGCCCCTAAGATAGCGTTGATTAACATTGAACTGATTGTTGAATTATATTATTTTTTTAGAAGAAAAAAAAAAAAGTAAGTATGCCCTGCGTATCAATCCTTCATTCCGATAGGTCGAACGCGCATGACGTCACTGGGCTTTAACTTCCGGGTGGAGCGGTGACGCAATCCGCTGTAAGCTGCTGAGAGAAGCGGCGTCTCTGTTCAGTTCTCTCTGCGCAGACGGTTTGATGAGACGGAGCAGGTGATGTTTTTAATTCTACGTTATTAGAAACATAATCGCGTAATTAGTTCACGGAGAGCTGCGTTGTTTGTGCATTAGATAAGCGAGCTAATCAGCTGATCAGCTAACAGCGTCAGCAGATCTGATGCTCTGTTGTTTTGATTGGAACATTTCGACACATGTGTAACTTGTGTGTAAATATATATATGTATGTGTTCTTTTCTATAATGTTTGTATTCATTGTCATGTATGCTGTCTGCATGTGAGTATAATATATGTGTGTGTGTGTGTGTGTGTGTGTGTGTGTGTGTGTGTGTGTGTGTCTTCAGTCTGTGCGGACATCTCTTCTGGTGAGACCCTGCTGAGTGATGCACACGACACTCTCATGGATGCTGACTGGGTAATAACTGCTCTGTTTTCTCTCCTCTGTCTGGATCTCCTCCTAGCTGGCCGTGTTTGCATCAGGTGAGTGTTCAGTAAGCGCTGATGGTCACGTGACGTGACCGTTGTATGATTCTCCTGACCGTGTCTCTCTCTGTGTGTTTGCAGTGGCTGGAAACCAGGCCGAACAGACAGGTGTGTCCCGTTTGTAAGGCCGGCATCAGTCGAGATAAAGTGATCCCGCTGTACGGCAGAGGCAGCACCGGACAACAGGACCCCAGGTACAGCTCTGTGAGCGTCATCAAATCATATTTGTGTTGTAGAGCTTAGAAATATGACTATAAATCATGCAGCAGGACAAAGTAGATTTCCCTTAATTTCCTTAACCAGAGTTATTATAGTTAACTAATACTGAAACTAAAATTTAAATCATTAAAAAAAGCATTGAAACAAAATATTTAAAAAAAGAAAAAAATTATTTCAACTAATTGCCAAGGAAACATTTCTCAGTTTAGTTTACGTTAACTTGACGTGTTAAAATTAAAAATTAAAAAAAAAACTACAACTGAAATAAATAGACAAATTTAAAAAATATATAATAATAATAAAAACAAAAACAACAACAAAATGACTAAATCTTTAAGTAAAATGAAAACAAAAACATAAAAATAATTCAAAATATTAATAAAAACTATTAATAGTATCTCAGTGATACTAAAATAACACTGAATTAAATTCATTTCATAATTGATGAACACAGGCGCTGTAATTGATCTGAATAATGACTCTGTTGTCTTCTTTATTGCTGCTTGACAGCTGAAATCAAATTTTTCATAATTGATGAATTTCACAACATTAAGTTATTTTCATGTTGATTAACTTGTCGAATCAGTCTGTTGTATAAAGCTCTGTAGAAATGAATGTGATTTGACTTGTGATAAATACACACCAGTACACCATTGACTGAAATATAAAACATAACATGAATATTCTTTATGATTTCAGAGAGCGGACTCCTCCGCGACCGCAAGGACAGCGGCCAGAACCAGAGAACCGTGGCGTGAGTGTCACTTTCTCTTACAAAATAAACTAGCTGCATATTCAGAATTATTGTCATTGTTACTCAATATAAGCAGGCTCATAAGCTTTTCTGTTTTTTTTTCTTGCTGTAAATAAAACAGATTATTGGAGGATGTTTTACTAGAAAACTCAATTTCAGTCTTTCTACGTCAAAATTGCTCGTTTAATTTAATGCCACTGTTTCTTTGTAATGTTTTGTGAAATTTAGTATCAATCTCTGAGTAAAAATTGTTTCTACGTGAATTTAAAGACAATGACCGCATAGCAACACCTTAGCAACCACCCCAAGTACCCTAGCAACACCCTAGCAACCACCACGATTACCCTAGCAACAGCCCTGGGTGCCCTAGCAACCACATAGCAACACCCTAGCAGCCACCCTGATTACCCTAGCAACCACTCCAAGCACCCTAGCAACCATCCCAAGTACATTAAGTAAATTCTGACTTTTTTTCTCAGAATTGCACAGTTTTTAAAATGTATATCTCATCAAAGCTGATAAAAGCGTTTGCAATGTGGCGTGTATCATTGCACAAGACGTTTGTGATGAAATGGTTACGTGGATGACGGCGGTTGCTTTAGTGCCTACCTGTAGATAATTCATTAGTCAAACGAGCGTCCCGCCGGGGCTTATTAAGGACAGGAGCTGGAAAGAGCTCAGCGGCGCGATGACAACATCTGACCTTTAAGATTGCATCACATTCTGCTCTCTCTCAACTCCTGAAGGTCTTGCATAAGGATTATTTACTCAATTGTAGTATGCAAATATAAAAAAATCTAGTTTTCCTCTAAATGAGAATGCAGTCATCATCTATTGGCTCTCCTGTTGTTCAGACTCGTGTGTTAGAGGCACACAAACAGAGACGTTTAGCAGAATGTTCACGCTGCTCGACCATTAAACTCTCAGACGAGGAGCTGATGCTATTCAAAGTCGTCAGGTAACCCACATGTAATTGATTATTCCGGAATCAAACATGCATGTGATCGTTTGGAGCAGTTCATAAACAAATCCAATTCAGAGGTGCTGCTTTATTCATGCTTTTATTTAGTTTTTGATGCTAACCATGGAACAACATTTAAAACTACCAAACTGTGCATAATCGCAACCCATCATAATAATCACTGCAGTTAGTGTTTTTTTGCGTTGGCTGTATTTTTAGTAATTTTTTACCTGATCAAAATAACCCGACTGCAGTTTGATTGAGATTAATTGGAATGCACAAAATCTTTAAAATTGTTAAAAACGAAGTTATCGGTTTATGCAAGTGAACTCTTGATATATAAACAGTGGCCAGATTATTCTTAAATGTATTTAATTATTAATCTTTCATGTTCCAGAAATGAAAGAACAGTTTGACACAGATGATGTACATTTAATTTCTTTTTTAAGTAATAAATCTGATGTAAGTGTAATATAATGCAGTGTTAATGTGTTTGCAGGGCTTTCAGGGCTTCGGCTTCGGCGATGGAGGCTTCCAGATGTCTTTCGGTATCGGCGCTTTTCCTTTCGGGATCTTCGCTACAGCGTTTAATATCAATGACGGACGACCGCCTCCAGGTGTGTGCTGAACCTGTGAAAGACGCTTGCATGAACACATGATTGGGTGAATGATATCACTAAACGTCAAGAAAATACAACGAGAGATTCTTCATGCATGTTACAGATTTTATTAAGAACAATTCACCCGTGCATGTTTTTTTTTGACTTTGTAAGGTTTAATGAACAATCCATAACTGCATCTTTCTGTGAAGATGCCATATGCAGCACTTCTCCAGTCATTTAGTCTCTTAAGCTCCGCCCCTGCAAGCTTAAGCTCATCTGCATACATGTGAGCCACGCCCACATCTCAACATCCAATCAACAGCTGATGCACAGAACCAAGCCCCGCCCTATATTTATTGTTTAATAATAATTGCACTCAGATGTACGTCACAACACAGAAGTTTATCCTGACTTTAACCATTTTTATGTTTATGGGTGATTCTATAATTGGAGATACATTTGTCATTTCATAAAGTTAAGAAAAAAAACTATTCACTAACAGAAATTCTTTCCAGTATCTTATTGAAAACGTATTCAATTTTAATAACATATTCAGTGCTTGCAAAACTCAAGTTACTTCCTTTTTTTACTTTTAATGAAAAAACAGATGTCTTTATGGCATTGTTTGTCAACTCTGTTACAGACAAATTAGGCAACGTGTAGAAATAACAATAAAATCCTTCTTGTATTAAACAGTCCTTACATTCCGACATTTGGAACTGAGATCATATTTAATCTATGCATACCTTTAAAAAATAAAAATAAATACCTATGTCTTCACAGAATTGTCCACTTGGAGCAAATATTTTTCATCTGAAAATGTATTATATACAATATCCAGTAAAAACAAAAAATAAATGTTGTTGAACTATTGTAAGAGTGCATAATATCTCAGTAATGTTTATGAGATTTTAAACAACAATTGTATTTTTTTTTGTGTGTGTGAAAATAGTTCATAAACGGAGTTGACCCTTTAAGTAACAGAACTGACAGAATTATCCGGTGGACTGTCAATTCTGTTACACTGTTGTCAGCATTGTTACTCTACCTTGGTAACAGAGCTGGACGGTAACAGAGCTGGACGGTAACAGAGCTGGACGGTAACAGAGCTGGACGGTAACAGAGCTGGACGGTAACAGAGCTGGACGGTAACAGAGCTGGACGGTAACAGAGCTGGACGGTAACAGAGCTGGACGGTAACAGAGCTGGACGGTAACAGAGCTGGACGGTAACAGAGCTGGACGGTAACAGAGTTGATAACTTTACTTTACCACTCGCTAGCATACGTGCTAAGTGCACATGGCACTAATGAAATCATGATTAAAATTAACCTTTAAATAACCCGATGGTAACAGTGTTGACGTTCTTCAAAATAACTTTTTTAGATTAAAATATTTTCTCAGAGAGCACACAGACTTTTCAGAGCTTATCAGTGAGGGACAGTGACATCATGTCCTGTATTCTACATAGCTGTGGGAGATAATTCCACTCCAGAATTCCATTTAAAGGCAAAATATGGTACGGTAACAGAGTTGACGCAAGATGTATAGACGCACATTTTTATAAGAAAAAAGTTGTTTTTAAACAATTTAAAGTTGTAGAATTAAGTAAATTGGTATTTAGGGCTTTTATAAATAAAATGAATGAAATGTTACAAAAAGAAAAGTACAATAAAATATTTTGATTACACAATGCATGATGGAAAGAATGCACTAATTCAGACAACGAAATCATGATTTTGAGTTATTTAAGACACTTTTTACCCAAATTATTATATTGTAATTGACTGTAACATCTTGTAATTCATAACAATAAGTAACAATTTATTAAAAATGTAGCCATTTGAAAAAGAATAATGACTTCGGACACCAAATGTACCTGCAATTATAGAATCACCCTGATGCATACATGCACGTTTTCTGAAGAAGATGTGAGTGGTGCTTGCTGTGGCACAACTCGGCACTCGGTTGCTAGAGTGTTTCTAGGCAGTTGCTAGGGTACTCGGGGGTGGTAGCTAGGGAACCCAGGATGGTTGCTAGGGTACCCAGGGTGGTTGCTAGGGTAATCAGGGTGGTTACTAGGGTGTTATGTGGTTGCTAGGGTACCCAGGGTGGTTGCTAGGGTAATCAGGGTGGTTACTAGGGTGTTATGTGGTTGCTAGGGAACCCAGGGTGGTTGCTAGGGTAATCAGGGTGGTTACTAGGGTGTTATGTGGTTGCTAGGGAACCCAGG